TCATAAAATGATTTGGGAAGGATTTATTGATTTTTTGAAGGGTTTTTCGTGTCTCAATCTCCTTCAGCTCAGCTCTGATCTTAGTTATTTCTTGTCTTCTGCTGGGTTTTGAGTTTTTTTGATCTTGCTCCTCTAGCTCTTTCAATTTTGACGATAGGGTGTCAATTTTGGATCTCTCCATTCTTCTCATATGGGCACTTATTGCTATATACTTTCCTCTAGAGACTGCTTTAAATGTGTCCCAGAGGTTCTGGCACGTTGTGTCTTCGTTCTCATTGGTTTCGAAGAACTTCTTTATTTCTGCCTTCATTTCGTTGTTTACCCAGTCAACATTCAACAGCCAGTTGTTCAGTTTCCATGAAGCTGTGTGGTTCTGGGTCGGTTTCTGAATTCTGAGTTCTAACTTGATTGCACTATGGTCTGAGGCTGTTTGTTATGATTTCAGTTGTTTTGCATTTGTTGAGCAGTGCTTTACTTCCATTTATGTGGTCAATTTTAGAGTACGTGTGATGTGGTGCTGAGAAGAATGTGTATTCTGTGGATTTGGGGTGGAGAGTTCTGTAAATGTCTATCAGGTTTGCTTGCTCCAGGTCTGAGTTTAAGCCCTGGATATCCTTGTTGATTTTCTGTCTGGTTGATTTGTCTAGTATTGACAGTGGAGTGTTAAAGTCTCCCACTATTATTGTGTGGGAGTCTACGTCCTTTTGTAAGTCATTAAGAACTTGCCTTATGTATCTGGCTGCTCCTGCATTGGGTCCATATATGTTTAGGATCATTAGCTCTTCTGTTGTATTGATCCTTTTACCATTATGTAATGGCCTTCTTTGTCTCTTTTGATCTTTGTTGCTTTAAAGTCTATTTTATCAGAGATGAGAATTGCAACTCCTGCTTTTTTTGCTTTCCATTAGCTTGGTAAATCTTCCTCCATCCCTTTATTTTGAGCCTTTGTGTATCCTTGCATGTGAGATGGGTTTCCTGGATACAGCACACTGATGGGTTTTGGATTTTTATCCAATTTTCCAGTCTGTGTCTTTTGATTGGTGCATTTAGTCCATTTACATTTAGGGTTAATATTGTTATGTGTGAATTTGATACTGCCATTTTGATGCTACGTGGCTGTTTTGCCTGTTAATTGTTGTAGATTCTTCATTATGTTGAAGCTCTTTAGCATTCAGTGTGATTTTGGAATGGCTGGTACTGGTTGATCCTTTCTATGTGTAGTGCCTCTTTTAGGAGCTCTTGTAAAGCAGGCCTGGTGGTGATAAAATCTCTGAGTACTTGCTTGTTCGCAAAAGATTTTATTTTTCCTTCGCTTCTGAAGCTCAGTTTGGCTGAATATGAAATTCTGGGTTGAAAGTTCTTTTCTTTAAGAATGTTGAATGTTGGCCCCCACTCTCTTCTGTCTTGTAGTGTTTCTGCTGAGAGATCTGCTGTGAGTCTGATGGGCTTCCCTTTGTGGGTGACCCGACCTTTCTCTCTGGATGCCCTTAGTATTCTCTCCATTATTTCAACCCTGTTGAATCTGACGATTATGTGCCTTGGGGTTGCTCTTCTTGCGGAATATCTTTGTGGTGTTCTCTGTATTTCCTGCAATTGAGTGTTGGCCTGTCTTGCTAGGTGGGGGAAATTTTTCTGGATGATGTCCTGAAGAGTATTTTCCAGCTTGGATTCATTCTCTTCGTCCCCTTCTGGTACACCTATCAAACGTAGGTTAGATCTTTTCACATAGTCCCACATTTCTTGGAGACTTTGTTCATTTCCTTTTGCGCTTTTTTCTCTGATCTTGGTTTCTCGTTTTATTTCATTGAGTTGATCTTCGACTTCAGATATTCTTTCTTCTGCTTGGTCAATTCGGCTATTGAAACTTGTGCATGCTTCGCAAAGTTCTCGTTTTGTGTTTTTCAGCTCCTTTAATTCATTCATATTCCTGTCTACGTTATCCATTCTTGTTATCCTTTCCTCGAATCTTTTTTCAAATCTTTTTTCAAGGTTCTTAGTTTCTTTGCATTGATTTAATACATGATCTTTTAGCTCACAAAAGTTTCTCATTATCCATCTTCTGAAGTCTAATTCCGTCATTTTGTCACAGTCATTCTCCGTCCAGCTTTGTTCCCTTGCTGGTGAGGAGGTTTGGTCCTTTCTAGGAGGCGAGGTGTTCTGGTTTTGGGTGTTTTCCTCCTTTTTGCGCTGGTTTCTTCCCATCTTTGTGGATTTGTCCGCTGGTCGTTTGCGTAGTTGCTGACTTTTCGATTGGGTCTCTGAGTGGACACCCGGAATGTTGATGATGAAGTATTTCTGTTGCTTGGTTTTCCTTCTACCAGTCTAGCCCCTTCGCTGTACGACTGCTGAGGTCCGCTCCAGACCCTGCTTGTCTGGGGTGCACCTCTAGCAGCTGTGGCACAGCGAGGGATGCTACCAGTTTCTTTTTCTGCTATCTTTGTCCCAGGATGATGCCTGCCTGTTGTCAGTCTTTTGGATATAGAGGGGTCAGGGAGCTGCTTGAGGAGACAGTTTGTACTTTATAGGGGCTTAATTGCTGAGCTGTGCGCTCTGTTGTTCATTCAGGGCTGTTAGGCTGCTATGTTTGATTCTGCTGCAACACAGCTCATTAAAAAACCCTTTTTTTTTTCTCAAATGCTCTGTGTTGAGGGGTTTGGGCTTTATTTTTGGATGTTCGATGAGGTGTTCTGCCCAGCTAGAAGGCAGACTAGCCACTGTTTGGCTGCCGAGGCTCCGCCCTGCTGTTGTGTGATTCGCTCTGTTCCTGCAGGCTCTGCTGTGGTCTCCGCCACGCCCTGCAGCAGAGTCTCTTCATTGTAGTGTGTTGCCTCAGTAATGGCAGGTTGCGTCAGCAGTGGGCGTGTATCTCAGTTGGGGCGGGTTTCCTCGGCAACGGCTGTCTGCGTCAGCAGTGGGCGTGTATCTTAGTTGGGGCGGGTTGCCTCGGCAACGGGTGGCTGCATCAGCAGTGGGCATGTATCTCAGTTGGGGCGGGTTGCCTCCGTAGTGGTGGACGCCCCTCCCCCACAGAGCGTCTCGGACCGTCTGCTCGGGATAGTTTGAAATTGCGGTTTTGTTCGTCCCACTGGGTATCCCAAACTATCTGTCCCTGCAATCCCCTGGGCTGGGCTACTGTCCAAGTCCCATTCAGTCTCAAGTCCAGCCCTCTCAAGTCTCAGGTTGCCGGTTCAACAGGGCACCCGCACAAGCACGCCCTGTGGGGATTGCTGGGTAGGGCCGGCCGCCGCCGCCCCGGCTGCCGGCTTCACCAGGCAGACCTACTGCCTGGTGCCCCGTGTCTTTTTACATTTGGGAGTTTCCCCGTTCTGTGGGCAACAAAGATCAGTCTGTAAATGCAGCTCTGACTCACCGTTTGCGGATTCAACGTGAGCTCCAATCCTGGGTTGTTCTCACAGTGCCATTTTGAGTCCTCCCTCATACATAATATTTAAAATAATTTAATAATACAGCAATAGTAGTAATGCCACTGTCATAACATGTTCACATATTATCTTCCACATGAATTTATATTTACATGAATTATGTAATAAACCACCCATTTTCAGTTTCTTATATTTGACTTAGCATTACTCAAACATTTTCGGTATTTCTACATAGTCTTCATAATGTTCTGTTGTTTTCCTTTTCAAATATGTTACTCTCTTTCTAATATGGTTTTAAAATATAGATCATGATCTCTTTTTTATGTTTTACAATGAATTGAAGTATTTTAATATCATTTAAATTAACACAACGATTCTAGCACACATTATTTATGTGCTAATTATTAATGCATAACCAATCAAGCACAAATTTATTTTTATTCCTTTTACTTAAATAAAACAATTTAAATTTGGGTCTTTTTCTCTTTCTGAATCTCATTCTCCCAATGCAAATTTACTAGTTTGTACAAAGGTTTAATATTTCCATATTAAATTTTTTATCTATTTTGTTCTTTTATTTTAAAACTAATGAATTTAAAATAGTTTACTTTTCTTATTATGGTCACAGCAATAAACACTAACTCATCACACAGACACACACACACACACACACACACACACATATCTTTTATTATGTTATCTCTAAATGGATGGTTCTTTTCTTTTGTAATAACAAAACCATTCTTCAGTAGCCTCCCTGATGGAAACTCCTCTTTTCTTCTTATCCACATTCCCAATTACCCCACCTAGGATGTCATCTTTCTTTAAATAATTGTTGTTTAATAATATATCTACATAAAAGATATGTAGAAAATATTTTGAGTTTAATAGTTAGAGAATGTTTTCCAGTACACTTCACCTACGAATAATGGTTTGATAATTTTTTTAGTTTCCAACTTTTTTCCCATTTCTTCCCTATGTTTTTGAGGTTGAGGCAATGCTCATAAAAGTGGAGATCTCTAATCTCTTTTTGATGAGTAAAAAAAATGTGAGAAAACGGGAGCAAGGGAGATCCATGGGATCATATACCATGGAGAGGAATGACCCAGATGTTAAAAGGTCCCAGTGATTAAATCATCCATAAATGAATGAGCCAGTGCTTCAAGGTCAATGCTTTGTGTCCCAGACACAATGTCACAGGCAGCATGACTCTTTTTTTTTTTTCTGTCAACTTTGCTTCTGTTGATTTTCCACTTCATTGGAAGAGATTCAAGTGCTGGGATGTGCTTTAGAGGTTGGTGCAGTCATTGGAGGTGCCTAAAATACCCTTGAAAATTCATATATTCATTATCTCTTTTCCTCTCAAAAAAAAAGTCTGAGTCAAACACAGATAATTTTCTGAGTAAGAATAGACTACTTTTAGCAATACTTTTTAACACTACGTTTCAGTAGTGTAAGAGACCATGGCACTGCCCACTTCTGCCATTAAACGGATTGGGGAAAAAAAACTGAACATAGAGATCTAATGAGTCATTTCTCTACACCTCTGATGACAAATCTTCAGTGTGACATCATACTTTTCTAGAACTTTGTGTATTCCATGAATACAAACTGTCTTACAAGTTAAATATAATGTACTTTCCTTCCCAAAAGTTCTCAGAACTACAGGATTTTAACTAAAAGGAACTTTTAGTTAATCTGGTCTCCTCTAACCAGCATAAGTCTTACTACAATAATGTGGATAAGTCAAGCCAAAGCATTTATTAACCCAAATCACTTTATGTATTTTCTTATTTCATCTACTTTGTCACACTCAATAAAAACTGAAGATTACACTGGAGCAGAAAAAAAGATTTAAAGATAATTCTAACCTTCTTTGGACACAGTTAAGGGCAGAGAACTGTGATTGGTAGAGAGGAATAAGAGAAAGCAGAGGAGTAGCTGGCCCAGAGAGGAAGCTATGGAGAGAAAGGAGATTCAGCAGAAGAAAGGGATGTTTGGCCACAACAACCAAAGGTGAGTGGAAGAAGCTCAGCTCTTAAAAGTGCTTGAGAGTGAATTCCTTGCAAATCCCTTGCGTGGGAACCATTCTATATCCAATAGTCTGTATGCTTGTATGTTGCCTGAACTGAGAGTAAAGACATTAATATCTGTATGAAGGCAACAATTTAAAGAGAAACGACTCTCTCCAAAGTGGGTGGAAATTAATAATACTATTTGAACATCTTCCTAGGAGAAGCAACTATGAATACATTGCCACATTTTGAAACAAATATATTTTTTTATAGATGCATTTGTATTGTATATAGATTGTGTGTACTTTTTTAATATAATAAACATTTTTCACCATTAAAATTTCTTAGAAAACAGTATGCTTAGTGGTTGTATAATATTCTGGTTAATCAGTTACTACAAATATCCTCTTATTTGGCTATTAGCAAAAATAAAAGAATGAATAAACATTTTAATACATAAGTATTAGCCCATATTTTCAGAATATTTACACATGGTAGAGTTTGGGAAACTTCATTACTGGATGGGAGAGAACATAGCACTTTATAGCTTTTAATGCCTATTGCCAAGATTCTTTCTAAAAGGGTCTTATGAAATTTTCCTTCCTCTACTGTTAATGTGAATGACCTCATTGCACATCATATGACCTTATGTTTATGACTGTAACATAAACATTAAGTAATACTTTATTTTAATATAGTTTATTTGTAAATCAAACTGGTACATATTTTAGTTTTAACTTATATTCCTTTATGTATTCATAAGATTGAGCAGTTTGTATATGTATATTATTTATCTCTATATATAGATATCTCTTATTTTTTTTTTTTTTGAGATGGTGTCTTGCTCTGTCACCCAGGCTAGAGTGAAGTGCAGGGGCTCCATCCCAGCTCACTGCAACCTCCAACTCCCAGGTTCAAGTGATTCTACTGCCTCAGTCTCCTGAGTAGCTGAGGTTGCAGTCACGCGTCTCCACATCCAGCTAATTTTTTGAATTTTTAGTAAAGATGGGGTTTCACCATGTTAGCCCAGATGGTCTTGATCTTTTGACCTCTTGATCTGCCTGCCTTGGCCCCCCAAAGTGCTGGGATTACAAGCGTGAGCCATCATGCCCGGCAATAAATCTTTTCTGACATGCTTATTTCTGTACTAAAACTTATTGATTTGTCTGAGTATGTCAGATATAATAAAAATTCTTTGCCTGTTTTTTGTTACAAATGTTGTCCTATTTGTTGTTCAAACTTTAATTTATGATACTTTGACACTAAAGAGTTGTCTATCTCTTGATATTTTTTCTTTTAATTCTTTTCATCATATACAGAGACCAAATGAATATATTCCTAAATAATCCTTATTCATACAGAGATCAAATAAATAAATACCTAAATTAGAGTGTTCACTATATTTTTTTGTCATTTTATAACTTGGAAAGATTTGGTGTATTATAGTTATGATTGCTGTATAACAAAACCTCCCCAGGGAAACTCATCTCTGCGCCAAGTAGTATCAGCTGGGGCAGCGGAGCAGATAAGAAGATGCACCACAAAGATCCTCCCCTTTCAAGGAAAGACTTGTTGTCCAGCTGTAGGGTGTGTGGTTAGCAAACACTTCTAGCCGTCAGCCTTTCAGGGCTTTGCTTAAATGCAAAGAGCTGCTTCATCTGAGGTCATATCCTTTCCAGGGAAGCTCTCATCTCATGACTGAGAAAGGCAGGAATACAAAAGTCTGTCCATTCTAACCTGACACTGAACAAATTTGATGGGCAAAATCCACCATAGAGCATAATACCTGGTTGGCAAGGGCTTTGTCAGAACTTTATTGTGGTTTAGATTTTTTTCTCTGCTCAGTCCTGTGTCTCTTCTTCCTTTCACAGATGTTGATAACTCCTACCCACTTGTATTATCCACTCAATCTCAGTGTTTGCTTCTGGAGAACCAAACCTGAAGTAGGCAGCTGACTGGATGTTGGAAAATCCTTTTTCAAGATGGCTTACTCCTATGACTGGTAAATGGGGCCAGCTGGCTGCTAAAAGCTCAGATGGAGCTATGGACTGAGCTATGGACATCGATTTTTCTTGATGCGGGTCTTTTTACAAGATATTTGGGCTTCCTCATGGCAGGTTAACTGGTTCTTATAATGGTCGATTTGAAAATGTATATTTTTTATGAAGTACAAAGTTGAAATATTTTGCATCTACATATCAGTTATATTGTTCAAAAATCTCTATTTCCTTACATTTTTAGATGGCTTTGTATAAAATGGGGAATTTCTACTTTTCAGTTTTAGAAGGTATTTGACATGCACATTCTCCATTAATGAAATGCCTTTTGTGTCTTAGGATATCATGGGTCAGAAATCATTTCATGATATCCTAAGACACAAAAGGCAGTTAATTAGTTAATTAACTCATGTAATTAACTAATTACATGAATTAATTCTTGTAAGGCAGTCTTTGGCAAATAATAAAAAGTCCTACATCTTAGACATCTCCTGTTCAAGAAACTACTAAGCTACTGGAGTTTGCACACCATTATAAAGCTATGGTAAAACTCTGTTTGCTTTAGTTTTCCCCAGTTGCATAATTTATTTAAAATTCTTAACTCTATTAGACAATAGTCTTAATGAGTTAATAAAATAATCTTTTTATTTCATTTTATATTTAATACTCAACATGAATTATCCACAATAGGTATTTGAGCTTTTTCAATCATTACAGATCTTTGAGATCCCATAGCATGTGTAACTTAAATCTAATGAATATTCAGCAAAAGAGGTGCACACAGTTTGACAGGATGGGGATACTGCTCCTAATGCTACTAGAGTATTACAAGGACAGGAATGCAGTCACTCTTCTTCACGTGGTAATGTTTCCCCAGAATGGTGATTGTCATTTCATTATGGTTAGAAACACAAAGGATACTTCATCTATACTGTAACCAATATTATACTTGAGAATTTGAGATCTGAGCTTGTGGATTCTGCCATTATTTAGAAACAGAGACTTAATTGGCACAGTATTTTCAGGAATCTTGCAAGAAGGATTTACAAAATTGAAATATCAGTTGAGTTTTATTTCTTTAGCTCACAATATATTCAGGTTATTTCATTTAAGTATGTCATTTAACATGAGATGGAGTCCAAGCATAAACCTTGCCTACTACTACTCTCCTTTTTAACACATCCTTGGGAAAATGCTCAGTTTTTAAAAAGCACCATGTTACTCATTCATGGGAGCTCTTGTAATTCATGATGACTCTTCCACATTTTCATGAGATATTCGAATCTAACTCCTCATTACTCATTTTACATTTGTTCAATCTGATTTCTGTTCTTTGAGTATACCAGAGAATGTCTTTATATTTGTTTCTTGCTCATCAAAGTCTTTTGAATTTTGTTCCCAGTCTCCAGGGGGCTGGCTCTTCTGCCCACCACCACCCCTACACTCCACTATACCTTATCATCAAGATGTTCTTGCATGTAAAACTTAATGAAGGTGCTTACTTACTTGGGCGTCAGCCTAATAATGTCTTCAGAGTATCTGCTGGGAACACAGAACAGCACTCAAGTCAGAGGAGCATACAAAGGAAACAAAGGATATAGCTCTGTTCTTCAGAAGACTATATTTGAAATGAAGAGAATGATAGACAGAAACTGAAGTATATTTTTCCAAGGCATCTTCTTCCATTATTTCCCAGTGCAGATTCCAAGTGAAAACTGAGGATACATTAAATTCTAAGGAAGTATTGATATTGTGTGATTTGTCAGGGCAGGTTATAATGTGGGTGTTGAAATTGGAGCAGGATGAATTTGTTTTCAAAAACAACTTATCAAGCCCTGTTTGATCTTGACTTTAAACAATGAGTTGCAATTCTTCTTATATAAAGCCCACACAATTTCACATTTATAAAATTGTTCTTCAAGATTCTTATATGCTATGGTAAATATGCAAAATGTATGTCATCAAAGTGGGTAAATTAAGAGGAATCAAGTAACAAAAATTAATTGTGAACATTTTCTTATAATAGCCTGTATACTAGAATTAATTATATAATATTGAGACATTCTGCTTAACTGTAATTTAGACATCCTGAATGTTTTTTAAAAAATCCTCTAACAGTGCTTTTCCTGATGAGGCTCACTGAGATTACCTGCTGCAGCTCAAAAGTCAAAGGCTATAGCTGCACGAAGATCAGAGCATCTTCAAGTGTCAAACTCAGTTAAAGATTTAGACTCTAACTTAGTTAACTCCAAGGCTATGTAGTTTGGAGTTTGGAACTGTTTGCAACTGTAAAACAGGGGTCAGCCATATCTTCTCACTAGATTATATGTAACATGGCAGTTTGTGGATAAAGAGTTCAGTAGCCCATGTAAATTTGGAAATGCTGGATAAAATATTTTTCCATTAGCGAACAACAAACTTCAGCATTTAAGGCTCAGTAAGTATCTCAGTTCTAAAAAAAAAAAAAAAAAAACAGTTTGACTCTGTTTAACCCAGAATTTCCCAAACCTCTATGAGCATAGAACTCCATTTCATGTAAAAATCTACTGAAATGCTACAGAATACAGTTCTGCAGAACACATGAGGAAATATTGATCCATCAAACACCTCTCGACCACTTAGTAAATACTTAGTAAGCATCTTCTTCATAAATTTAGCGCTTTTCATCTATGCCATGAAGGAAGTAAAGATGAGTTAGTCATCACATCTATCTTCAGGAAACTTTCAAAGAAGTAGAGGAAATGTGAGATTAAAAGCGAACTGTATTTTCAAGCAGAAAGACCTCATTGTTATAATAGAGTCCAAAAGAATATGCATTTGGCTTCCAAAGAAATAAAGAAGACAAATGAGATCAGAAAATGCTTGAAAAAGAATGTATAGTTAGAGTTCTGGCTTAAATGACGGTGAAATGTTGCTATGTAGGATCAGGAAGGTTACATTACATGGTGAGGGTGCCAAGGGAGAAAAGCCCAGAGGTGCTGGGAAGCATTGAGGAACAGATGCACTGCAGTGTTCACAGAAAGGTATGGAGTGGAAAACTAAGCCAAGTTAAAGTCAAATTTGTTCCAGCCCTTAACTTTCATACACTATATAGTAGTGACTACTGGGAATCACATTATAACCGAAAACAAGTCCAACAGTATAAGCATAGTAGGTCAATAATTAAATCAGGATATCCAATATATTTTGGCAAGGTTTTATAACAGGAAAAAGACAAAAATCTTTAAGAGCACAGAATATTAGTACCAAACGTAGTCAAGTAATGCATCCTAGAGAATTCATAGTTGAAATAAGGAATGCAGAACTTTATTCTGTCTACCATGGGGAGCCATATAAGTTGTTTTTGTTTTTAATGGGGGCAATTGGATTAGATCTCTCTTTTCAGGAGATAACTCAGAGGCAATATGAAAGACAGATTGGAAGAACAGACAGGAGGCAAGAGAACCAGCTAGAAGGTAATAGTAAAGGTTATTAAACACCAAACTTACAGCATAGTCAGCAATGGAGGAGAGGAAATGGATGTTAAAAAGAAATGTGTCCTAATGACCAATTAGAGGCAGAATTACAGAAGAGGGAAGAGGAAAGATATCTTCCTAATTTTCCATGATAATATAATCAACTAAAGAGTTAATTTTATTTCTACAAATACTTTGGAACAAGATATCAGTAGACATAGAATACAGATGTTCAAAAGATGCATTAATCATCTTCATTAAGAGATATATTGTCTCTTCACACACACACAACACACACACGTGCACACATACACACGAGCATACATGCTCTTCTTTATAAACAGTACTCTAATCAGAGTAGCATCTGATCATGCTGAAGCAGAAGGCAAAAGTACAGTGATTTCAGTGAAATTTTCAAAGAGGTTTTATTATCCCTACCTTTCACAGAAAATCCATGAAGCTTACTAGACATCTTTACTTAAGAATCCTTTCCTTGCAAATACCATTAATTGATCACTGTCCAGTCGTTGCTGCTCTGTTTGATTTTGTGAGCATCCTAGCTTTGTAGAATGTTTTGTCATGTTTTCGTTTTCACTCCTTCTTTCTTCACTCATTTTTTTTCTCTTAAATATATTCAAATTTAGATTTTTGCAATTTCTTGGATGTAAATCATTTTTTCATTCTACCCTAGGAACCACAACTATTAATTCATTCAGTGAATATTCGTTATAATTGACTAAAAATATAAATTCTATTTTACAATTTTCCTTTGGAATTAGACTTATTTCAACTTGCTTAATGATACATAAATTGTTGTCTTAGGATATCATGGGTCAGAAATCTGTCAAAATAATAATTACATGAGTTAATTCTTATAAGGCAGTCTCTGGCAAATAATAAAAAGTCCTTACATCTTAGACACCTCCTGTTCAAGAAAGCACAAAGCAACTAAGCATTGCTTCAGCCATCTGCAAAAATAAAGTTTCCTCCTCTACCCAAATATCTGGGACACAAATGACTGGAAATACCAGCTGGTAAATATCCAGATAAAAGCAGACTACCAAATAGCAATAACTATTAGCTGTACTATAACAATATGAAAATATGAATTTGTATATTTTGATAAAAGAAATATGGGTTCCAGTCTGACCTTTTCACATCTTAGGCATTGGCCATTAGTCGGTCTCAAAAGAAGGGTTAACAGTATCCTTGGAATAGAGATAGGTAGCTAAGCTAATTAGAAAATATGTATTAGTTCTTCCCTTTTGTCCTGATACCCAGATCCATGTTCAGTCCAGTTCAGAGTGTAGTGTAGGCTCTCTCTGCTAAAAATATTAAAGTCTTTTTAAGCATTAAAAATCTTTAGTGCCATGTTGTTGGCCTGTTTCCACTTATTAAGAAGAAAATATATTTCTTTATTATTTTCCTCTATGGAGTGGCCTATTTACAAGTAATAAGTTCCCCAGAACTGCGAAATTTCAAGTTATGGGTGGATGATCAGTATCAGCAGGGCTACAGAAGGAATTCCTGTATTATGCAATGAATTTCATTTAATGACTGTTAAGATCCCATTTGTTGTATGATTCTATTATGTATCTTGTTTCTAGAAATTCAGAAACTCCTATTTTTCTCTCCATAGGTTACAACTCTTCTCACTCAGTTTAGACCCCCACAACTTTTCACCCTGTATTTTTTCACTGAACACAGATCTTAGCTCCTATTGTGAATACTTTTTATAAGTACACTTTTGTTCTTTAGTTAATTATTTCCTTAAATCAACCTTTCCATATCATGAGCTATAATATTAAATTTTTAATGTTCTTAATTTTTTTCTGTTTTCTTGAAATTTTTGACTCTAATGTAATTTCATCTCATGAGAACCACAGGATAATGTGAGCAACCTTGTGAGACATACTGGGAACTCTGCTGGGCAGACTGAAGGGACAAATTGGTTTTGAGAATAACTAACTAGCATGAAGGCTGAGCCCTTGTCCCAGGTATGGAGAAAGTCATGAGAAAATTGAGCTTATTTCTAATAGCATCATAGGATATTATCTGAGTATAGGTCTGGAGACACAAAGCAATAAACAATATTCAAAAGTGGGCAAATATTATTACTTCTATTGTGAAAAAGATGTTTTCTCTGAACAAGAAGACTTCAGCCAGCAGCACAAAGGAAAACAAATGAAATTCATTTCAATGGCAAGCAGCAAGAAATGTGTTGAGACCATAGCCAAAAATGAATGGCTTTCCTTCTAGTTGGAAACCAAGGTAGGTGCCAGTATGGCAATCCAGGGAGATACTAAGATCTGTTGGGCACAGGGCAACACCAGAGTCACCCTAGGAGCCACGAATATTATCTATCATAATTCTGATCAAGCAGCTCAAGCTTATCATGCACTCCCTGCCCTAGTAGAATTGACATGCGGCATTGCTCATGTCTGGGCCTCAGATGAAGAAACTGTGACTATAGCTTTGCAGGAATATTAAAAGAAAAAAAAGGGTTTGAAAGTCTACCGTGTAATTTCACATTTGCCAAAATCAGGTTTTTAGGCTTTTTTAAAATTCCTTTTTCAGGATTTTTCCAAGCCTTCTCTTAGAATCCCTAATTCTGCCAATTCATGATGCTTATGTGAAGATTTTGTTCTAATTTTAAATCTTCAAGAATTTCTCTGTTTGAGAAAATGAAGTTAAGAATGACATCTGTTCTGGTTGGCACTTCTACATGGTCTTTGCTCCACTACAGGAATTTACTGAAAGGGTTTGTGACCTGCAGCATTGATTTTCCACATATGTTCCTACAGTAAAAAGGCTCTCATTAGCACCAAGGAAGTTTCAACAATCTTCTCTGAAAAAGCTGGCTCATTTTTCCCTTTTTTCATTTTAAGACTGAAAATCAACTTCAAAGTTTATTTTCCTTTCTTCTCTTTTCTAGGAAAAGTGGGATCCTCTAAACATGTTTCTCTGGTCTTGATAGAAAATATGGTATTAGTAAAGATTTATATTCTTTTTAAAATTAGACATTTCAGTAAACCTTCCATTTGTATACACTGATGAAACTTTAGATTGCACATTACTAATTAAATACTTTGTACATAAAAATGTATGATTATTCTTATAAAATTATGGGTGGTGTTATGTTTAACTTCTTAACCTGTTTCATTATCTGTAAAATGGGAATTTTATAGTAGTGTGGCATTTGTAGTAGCACTTATTTCAGAGTTGGTATGAGAATTAAATGAAATAATGTAGGTAGAAGGGCTTAGCTGTCTATAATCTATGCAGTTACTATTAGATCGATTAGGTGTGTTTTTCTAATGAATAAATTAATTATCATCCTG